CCAAAAGGCCTGGAGCAAACACTCAGGATATTGCATAACTAGTATTGGATCTACTTTTGAAGTACAGTTTTATAAAAAGAGACTAAACCAAGTTTGTATGTAATAAGTCAAAAGGATATGCAATCTTTGGTTTAATACTTTTTTCTCCTCCTGACCCTACTGATACGGCCAACATAGGCCACAAACTTATTAGGAAACCAACAATATTAGGTGTAACATTGCTTGACATAAATGTGTCCCATTAGCTTATAAAATTTTCATAGAGCACAGTAAAACCACAACAAATGAGAAAACATTTGGTTCAAGTTACAGTCATATTTATTTATTTAACCAACGAAGGAAAAAAAAATCAAGGTAATGAGGATGAAATTAAACCAACCATTCTGTCATTAGTGAGTAGATTTTAGTGGACAATAAAGCCTTTCGATGATGCCATTATGAAAATCTATAAAATGCTTTTCAAGATTTTTATCCAAATCTTTCAAAATAACAATACTCACTGAGTTACTCCTTTATTTATTATCCAACATAGGATGTAATAGCTAAGGGAAAAGAAGCAAAGTACTTCAGCTATCATTATATGCCTCAAGAACCTTAAAAAGTAAAAAAAATATATAGTGGAGTGAAACGTGAAAAAAAGAGGCAGAAAGATACCTAAACGTGAGGGTCCTCTCATTCCATTTTTTTCTGCAAGGTACAGAGCACGTGGGCTTCAACTCCCGAATGCTGCGTGAGCCTGTGAAACAGGCAGGGGCAGGTACGCTGGAAGATCTAAAGGCTTGATGGAGGGAAGTGGGAGTAATAAGTGGGGTGTGGGGCAAAGCAGGGCAGGGTAGAGGGACCCTGAGGGCAGCAGTCTACCCTTGACAGGGAGCGGGGAGGAGTCAGAGAGAAGGTGGGCGTGGAGATGCTCAAAAGCTCGAAAAGATCATTCGCTTAACGCCCAAGTCTTGCAGGCAAACATTAGGGGGAGAGATATGAAGCAGGAGGGCCCGCAGATGAAAAACTGTGGGGCAGGAAACCATGGAAAAGTTTCAGAAATGACAGAAATGTGAAAGGGACATTTGGCTTAACACAGTGAGAGGTAAAAGCAGGCCTAGGAGAGAACAGAGTGAGTGAGGGGCAGCGCCAGGGATGCCGGCGGCCCAAGTGAGCTCACTGCACGGGCCAGGTCTGGACTTCCCTTGTTTTAAGTTACTGTAGAGGGAGAGCAGTGAATACTGAATATTGTCTCCCTTGGGAAAATCTAATAAACCACGCGGTGGGGCTACCTGAGCTTCCCCAGGACCTGATCCAGGCACATTCCTGGAGAGACACCCTCCCGCCCGCCGCCATTGCCCACATGGGAAACCACACGTAGGACAGGCCTACGTGAAAGGACTTTGAAAACCTTTCATTGTGTTTCACTGAATCCCTTGGACACAAAACATAAAGACCAGAGGGACGATCATGAGTGGGGAAATATTTGTCAAATATGGATATGATAGCTCTTCCGAATCAGGATGCCCTGCCTAGAAATTCCACTAATTGCAAAGGTCCTTACCCTTGGTGTGTTTACTTTCCTGTCACGTTATTTTTCAACATTTAAAAATCCTCCTACCTGAGGCATATACCACGGAGCTCTTAGCAAACAATCTCACTGATTTATTAAAATGGAGGCCTGCATCTAATGCATTTCCAAGGAGCTTTTTTGATGCCTTCTAGATCTTAACTACTTAGGTTAATTCCATTCAATTCAATCACTCATTGAGTGACTTCCAAGTGCAAGGTAGTGTGCTGGCTGCAAGGGGGGGCTGCAGAGATGAATCTTCTCAGCGTCCATTTCAGGTTGGGAGAGCTGCATCTCCTTTTGTAAGTGTGGCGAGAAAGCAAACTTTTCTATTATCTGACCAGCCTACAATCCCCTAGGAAGTACATTCTCCAGGAACATGTTCATTTAAAAAAAAAAAAAAGAAAAGTCAAGGAACTTCTTAATACCTGGCGATTGCACACACTGCTGTGTGTTCTTTCCTGCGTTCATCCTAGCCAAGTTCACGTCCCGTCAGTCTTGTCGTAATTGCATAACCACAGCATGTCAAGTTGTTTCTTGTTGCAACTGTAACTTGTAAAATTAAACTTCAGAACTGAGATAGTCAGATAGTCGAGCTAAATAAATGCCTACTTTAAAAATATGTGTATATATCATTTACATGCCACTTCAGATAAGCTCTCGAATTATGATCTCTGAGAGTCACAACTGTCACCAGTTGTAAAAGACAGTTTCGATGTTGCAACCCTCCCTGCACGCAGGCTCCATCCCTGTCTTCTCAGTTTTCTAAGCAGTTCGTTACACTGATCTATTGCAATCTGCTTTTCCTGCTTTAACGAGAACCTAATTAATCCCAACATTTACTTTTCCCACGCTAAGGGACTTCTACAGTTCCAAAGAAGGACCATAACAGGGCCCCAAATGTCCTTGTTTGCGCCTCACATGGCTCCACCTTGTATTGATGAGTTCAAGAGAAGCTGGTGATGCTTGTCACTCTGAGGACCCCCTGTGAATGAGTCACTTACCCTCTCCTGCCCTCCATGGGAGGTGCCATACCTCCCTCTCCCAGCCTGGGGCATGCCATTCTCTGACAGAAAATACCCAGGGGCCACTGCGAGCCTGGAGCAGGCCGTTCAGTATGTAACACCCAAGGCTCGCCTGGTCAGAGCTCCAGCACAGCACTGAGGCACCGTCCACCTGGAAAAGGTCCTGCCCGCGACCCCTCCCGGGAGCCCCTTCTTCCCGGGTAGGGCTTTTGAGTCAGTCACAGCAAATAGCACCAATTAATGAACAAACTCTTGATTTATACCTTGGGATTCTTCAAGAAGCTCAAACTACTTCAAACAGTGGCCTATGAACTCCCAGAAAATTCTAAGTGAGAGGGAGTTGGGGATATGGGGCGGCGAGGGGGCGAAATATAAATTACTAGCCAAGGAAACAAAACGATCCATTCTCTCAACCACTGAAACAGAGTTGGTGCTGAAGTAGGAAGCTAGAACCTCAGGGTCCTTCTAGGATAAACTTTAAAAAACGGCTATAAGACCTCCCTACCAACCAACGCCATTTTTCTTGGAAATCTGTCCACAGGGAGATAAGTCTGAGAAGAGGCGCAGCCGCTCCTCCTCAGACACCCCCTCAGCCCAGGGCTCAGTTCGCTGTCTTTGTGGCTTTCCCCGCAGCCTTCCAGGGCCCTTCCGCGAGCCCAGTTTGCACAGCAGGAAACTTGAGGGGAGGTTAATTTCAATGTCGCCTTTGTGATTGGTGAAGCGCTAGTCCCAGCTGTGGTTTAATGCAGATGGAGAAACTCGGCTGTCCTGCCACCGCCACTACTTACGTAGCACAACAAAAACAGGTGATCAAAGTCTAAATGCATTTCCATTTCTGATCAGTTACTCGTCCAACAGCCAGCATAGAACATGTTCTATTGATCCTACCATCCAGCTCTGGCAGTATGAAAAAGGGGAGAAAACTCCCAAATGGAGCATCTTGGACTTAAAGACCCTCAGAAACCTCGCCCCCCCACCCCCCCCACCCCACCCCAAGAGAGCTAAGGTAGCGAGTCCCCCCTAACTGAAAGGTGAGTCCTCAGGTAGAAGGTGAGCCCCACTGCCAGCAGCTGGGAAGTGTTTATAACATCTGTCTGTATAATGAACTTGTCACTTCCCCAAACAGTCCATACTGTTTCCTTAAAAAATAAAAAAATAAAGGCTACATGACTTCCGTGGTGTTTCAGCCCCCCTCCCAAGGTCTGAGTCACAGCCTGCGCGGCTTTACTGAGGTTCTAGGTGACCAGGGTGGATCACTTTCCGAGTTCCCCCAAGAGCCGAACTTACGGCTGTCTTCCAACCACACACAGCACAATCGCTATCTATTTTAAAACAATTTTCCGAACCCACATGCGATGGAAGATGCCTCCTACATAGGTCTTCAACTTCCTACTGGAAACAAAACATTCCTGTCTCACACTGCGCTTGTCATCTGCCAGGACTAATGCTTGTTTATGTATGTGTGCGTGTGCATGTGTGTGTATATATATCTTCGACCATGCCACTCTTGGAGCAAAGAAAGCCACCCCAAATTTTACCGTCGTGCCTGAGCCAATTACAGGCTTCGGAGGAGGAATGAATAGGAGAGCCCTTAAGCCCAGGGACTTCTCTCACACAAACAGTAAGTGGAAAAAAAATAAAATCTCTCAGTAGAGGGAGGGGGCAGGGCGGATGATAGAGGAAGGGCATTAAGCTGCCGACCAAAGGCAGCCAACGCGGCCGCACTTAGCGAGCTGCCTGCGTAGAGGAGCGAAATCTTCCCCTTGTTCAATACCCAAGCGCTCTCTGCCAGCCTCCCGTGGGCACGAATAATAAACACATCGAGGTGGGCAAACGGATGCACCGACACCAGCCACCCTCCAAAAGGTCAAAACTTCAGAAGCCCCGGGGATCACAGCACCCTCAAACACATCCATCAGTCGCAGCGGGACAAGGGACTTGGAGACTCAGCAAAGGATTCCGAATTTTGTGGGGGTTTTTTTTTTTTCCCCCTTCCAAGCTCTGGCTTGCAAAGTACGGCAGCTACAAGCTAAGCTAGAGAGAGGGGCAGGAAGGCTGAGGGCGGCAGGGGTGCGGGTGGGGAGGGAGGGTAACACCAGCCACCCAGGCCTCAATCTGACGAAAGCCGTCCGCAGCCCGAGCCGCATCCCACCCCTCCGCCCAGCTAGCAGACGCCCCCTGCAGCGATCGCCCCCCCACCGCACCCCGGCTTCCGTCCCCGGCAACCCCACCAGCCCAGCACCAGCAGCAACCCCCGCCTCAGCCGCGCGCCGGCAGCGCCACGATCGTGGCTCCCATCCCTTCCGAGCGGCAGACACCCCCGAGGCCTCCCTCCCAGCCCACCCGGGCGTGCCGGGGGAGTCGAGCCGGGGCGCGCACCGCCGCCAGCTCCCCACGCCCCGGGGCTGGCGACGGCTCCCGCTTACCTTGGGCGCTCGCGGGGGGGGGCTGAAGGTGGCCAGCCTCCCGCCCCCCGCCCCTTTTCTCCGCGCCTGGTTTCTTCCTCCCGCCTCCTCCTCTTCCTCCTCGTAACCACCGTGTGTCCGGGGCTCCCCCTCCTCCCCGCGGCGGGGAGTAAAAGCCGAAAACCCCGAAGCCGGGCCCGCGTGCGTGCAGGCGGGAGGCGGCGGCGCGCGGCCAGCTCGCCAGTAACTGAGCGCGGCGCGCGGCTCCCAACTAAAGTGTGAAAGAAGCGGTGGCCGCGGCAGCCGCGGCAAGGAACGTCCCCCCCGGAGTGGGCAGGGAGCGAAAGAGGGAGGGGACAGGAGGGAGGGGAGCTCCTTGCCCAGTCACTCACTCGAGGGGCGGGGGCAGCCAGACACTCCCCCACAGCCGGGCCCTCCCCGCGCCGGGCTCCCGCGCGTCGTGCTGCCCTCCCCCGGGGAGGGGCCTGCGGAGTCGGGGAGGGAGCCGCGCACGGGAGGAAGGGACCCGGCGAGAGGGCGATCGGGGCTGCGAGGGGCTGCGGGGAGGGTAGGAGGCGGGAGGACCGGCGTGTGTGCGCGTGTGTTTGTGTTTGTGTGTGCGCGCGCCGCGGGGCCGGTGGTGGGGGAGAGCGCGGCGGGAAAGCTGCGTCCGGGGCCTGTCACCCAGGCGGTGGGATGGAAGCTGCGGGGCGGCTTGGAGGCAGGGAGGGCCCAGCTCCGCGGGAGACCCAGGCCGGACCGTGGGCCCAGCCCAGCGAGCTGCGACTGCTGAATGCAGACGGAGAGAAGGCCGGGCATCCTCGGCGCGCCGCGCAGCCCAGCGGCCCCAGCCCTGCCACCAAACCGCCTCCACCCTGCCCTGGAGCCGCGGCGCCTTGCAAGATGAATGAAGCTTGGGAGACTCGGCACTGGCGGCCGTGAGGGGAAGAGTCGGGCGCGCCCTGGGTCCGAGCCTTAGCGCCCTTCGCCCCCTCCCCGCCCTTCCCGGCCTCTGGGGACTAAAGGGCGGAGGCTGCGTCTGCTGGGCACGTCCGGGATGGTTGGAATCCAGAAAGGTTGCTGGCCACCACTTTATCTGTACCGTTTTTTGTGGATCCTCACAAGAGGTCAACCAATTTCCCACCCTCTGGGAAAACGTATTTTTCTTCTTTCACCGGTCAGATTGGGTGTTTTGTGTGTGCACTTAACTGATCTTTCAGCGTTGATAGCGGTTGGATGCCTTTGTGCAGCGCCCTCCCCCACTCCCCACCCTCCGCCCCCAACTTCGCGCCTTCATTGCCCTGGACACATGAGGAATGTCAGACCTCCAGGGTGAGGACACCCAAGAAAACAATAGGGGCAAAAAAGCCTCCAAGAAAGGGTCCCGAGGATTACACACAAACCCAATCATTTCTCACTTTGGGCTAAGATGAAGTTGGGAAATGGAAAAGGACACATCAGAGCTGTGGCAATGATGAGACACTTAACTGGAAAAACAAAATCATAATTTAATTTAATGGGATGAGTTCATAGCCACCCAAATGGCTAGGAAGTCTGCCTTTTTGAAAAAAAGAAACGATTTTCCAAGTGGGCTCCCTTTTTCAATTTAAAAGGCTAGTATCACTTTATTTTTGAACCTGATTTGTATTCCATTTTTGATTGTATTTTTCCATTACCATTTAACCCCCTTAAACTCCTCCCCCCAGCAAACATATCCATGAGTCTTTTTCCTTTTTTCTCAATCCTTCCACCTCCTGACCTCCCCCTTCCCTCTAGAGCTGTCCTCCTGCTCTCCATCTATGAGTCTGTCTCTACTTTGCTTGTTAGTTCAGTTTGTTCATTAGATTCCACATATGAGTAAAATCATGTGGTATTTATCTTTCTCTGACTGGCTTATTTCACTTAGCGTAATGTTATCCAGGTCCATCCATGCTGTAGCAAAGGGTAAAATTTTCTTCTTTGTTATGGCCAAGTAGTATTCCATCGTGCAAATGTCCTATAGCTGTTTTATCTCATTAAAAAAATTTTTTTTAATTTATTTTATTTTTAGAGAGGGGAAGGGAGGAAGAGAGGGAGAGAAACATCATTGTGTGGTTGCCTCCTGTGCGCCCCCTAGTGGGGACCTTTCCTGCAACCCAGGCATGTGCCCTAGGCTGGGAATTGAACCGCCGACTCTTTGGTGTGCAGGCCAGCACTCAATTCACTGAGCCACACCAGCCAGGGCTGTACTCATCTTTTGAAGGACACTTGGGTTGCTTCTATATCATGGTGACTGTAATTAATGCTGCAGTGAATATAAGGGTGCTTATGTTTTTTAAAATTAGTGTTTTGGGTTTCTTTGGATATATTCCCAGAAGTGGGATCACTGAGTCAAAAGGCAGATCCATTTTTAATTTTTTGAGGTGTCTCCACTCTGCTTTCCACAGTGGTTGCACCAGTCCACATTTCCACCAACAGTGCCAACTATCCATATTCTAGCTCATTTTTCTTTTTGGAACCAGGGCACTTTGTAGTCTAGCCCTGTGAAGAGGGGTAGTAAAGAAGGGAGGGCATGCTAATTAAGATTCCTTCCAGAGGCAGCCAGCCACTGTCTCTTACTCTAGAAGAAATGACTCGTGTCATTTCTTTTAGCCTTTCTTTCTCATCTGTAAAACGGGATTGATAGACTAGCTCCTACCTCATAGGCTTCTTAGAAAAGTAAAATGAGGTGGCAATGTGCGCAAAACACTGCGTAATATTTGACAAGAACTCAATAAATATGAGCTGTTATTTCAGAAATAGAGTTTAACCCCAAATTTAGTAGATGCTTTTCTCTTTGCATTCTTTCTTAAAGTTGAGGGAGGAAACCTACCTCCTGGATTCATCCCAAATGCAGTCAACCCTCCTCTGAGGCACTTAGGCCACGCCTAAAAACTTCTCCTAGGGAAAAATGAAGGAAATAAATATCCGCACATGATGCTATAAGAGGATCCTGAAGGATAGCAAACTTTTGTGTTTTGCCACCTCTTTCCTTCCCTAACCTACACAGACCACTCTGAATAAACTAAGCTCTATAAATGTTGCCTTGTGTTGTATTCCATCTTGTCAGGGCTGGGAGCAGTGACTAGCAATAGAGATTTCTTGGGGCCAAGGCATTGTAGGTCTTTTTTGACTTGATCTCCTGAAAACTAACAGAAGGCCATTGAGCAATCACTTCATATACACGTAAGTTAAAGAACATCCATACTATGTCCTTTTAAAGTAAGTTTTCACTTATTCAAAGTAATACAACTTCATTGTAGAATACTGTTGACCCTTGAACAATACAGGTTTGAACTGTGTGGGTCCACTTATACATGGGTTATTTTTCAATAAATACCTGTCCTATTTTTGATGGCCTGCGGTTGAGAGTCCACAGAAGCAAAGGGCCAGCTCTATGCATTGATGTACACTATTTTATAGGGGACTTAAGCCTCCACAGATTTTGGTATCCATGGGGGTCCTGGAACCAGCCCCCCACATATACCAAGGGATAAGTAAGTTTGGGAGGGAGTCAAAAGTTATACATGGATTTTCCACTCTGCAAGGTCAGCGCTCCTAACCCCTGTGTTGTTCAAGGTCAACTGTATCTAGAAATTTCTGCAACTCACCCAAGCATGAAGAAAATTAAAATCACCATAATCCTACCATCCAGAGAGAAGCACTTAATAAGTGCTTCAAGTATATCCATTTTCCCTTCATTTATTTCACTATTTTTCAATTACCAAACATTTATTAAATACCTAGTTAGGGACTGGACAACTTCCCAGGGCCAAGAACAGGTGTATGTTAGTGTTGTTTATTTCTCAGTAGAAACTACTCTTTAGAAGTAATACTTTAAATGGTAGTGAGACTTTCAGGACATTCTACAAAAAAAAAAAGCCCGTAAAAGGAATCCTGTAATTAAATGATAGTGCTGACCAGAAACAATCTAAGTTCTGTAGGTTTTGACGCATTTACCATTTGGGGAGCCCTCTTCAAGACAAATAAGACAAAAGTACAATACTCCTTGGAATGAGGGGTCATGAACTTAATTAAGCCCCTTTTCTTCTCAGTACATCCGCTTCGGTGCTAGAATGTCTGTAGAAATTAACTGTTTTGATAAACATTTAATATGAAAAACTCATTCCTGGGGTCGATAGGACACCTTTCCCTCTTCCTTCCCAAAGCAAGAAGAGTGGGGACTTCCACTAACACACACACACACACGCACGCATGCACGCACGCACGCGCACGCGCACATACACTTTTCTGCACACAGCCATAGTAGGGGCGGTGGGACTATGGGGACTTCCAGCAAGGGCTGCAGTATAGAGGGTGGGCAGTGCGGAGCTGACGGGAAGCAGGCAGACGGCATGGGGCACCGGGGTTCTGGAGGGACACCTTAGGTGTAGGCACACACCACAAACCATGCAGCAGGAGCTGCCTGCAAAACTCTTTGGTCAGCACAAGCTAAATCTACTAGACATTTTATCACAGAATAATCTCTCTAGCTATTCATCATTATTAAATGACTATAAACAGACTTTTGTCAAAAAGATGAAATGTGCTTCTCCATTTCACAAGTAATAAAACCATCTCTTCTTTGCCCTTCCACTCTACCAAAATCTCTGAATTTCGTAACTTCAAACACTATAAATATAATTTTTTAAAATGATACCTGTTCTTGGTCAGTAGAGTTTAATTTTATTCTTCAAAGGTATTACTACCATAATGAATTTTCTTTTATCCTTAACATTTTAACTTGTGAATACGTGGCTTTATAGGACCATTCATAACACATAGATTTGAATCTTTTGTTCTTATTTTTAAGTAGAGTATTATGGATTGAAGGTGGGTACCCCACCCCACAAATTCGTATGTTGAAGCCCTAACCCCACAGTGTGGATGGTATTAGAAAGCAAGGCCTTTGGGAGATGAAGTTGTGAGGGTGGGGCCACATGCTGAGATTAGTGCCCTTATAAGAAGAGAGGAGGGAGCTCTCTCCAAACTCCCAGTCCTGGCCCCTACCCTTACACCCTCTACAGGACACAGCCACCTCAAAGGCAGGGAAAGAGCTCTCACCAGGAACCTGACCTTGCTGGCACCCTGACCTTGGACTTCCAGCTGTGGTATTTTGTGATAGCAGCCCGAGCTGACTGCTATACCATTCTCTTTACCATTGTCTATAAAAAAGAAACAAAGGGAAAATGCAGGTTGATTGAAAAAAGAATAGAACAAGCTATACATATAAAAATAGTGAAAGCCACTGGTAACTTATATAAATCTACATGAATTCAGTTTATGTGATTTATTTTAAAGGTTTCAATCGGTTAATT